AAAAAAAAAAAAAACTCGATGCATGCATTTCTCGGATCACGTACCGGTTGAGATGTGCACGAAAAGCTTGAGATTCTTGCATTTCTTAGCAAACCTCATTAGCCGTTGTGGAGCGCTTACATTTGCATCGATCAAGGAATCGTACCTATGCATAATAATGTATACGACCAAAAAAGAGTTATGTACGTAGATGTGACACAAAATTATTTCATTCTTAAAAATCACGAACCGAACAAAAACCTGTCGTCTAAGGTCGTGCTAGCTGCAGATCCCACAATGACATCTACTTCATCCATGACAACACCAGAAGAATAAGCATCCATTCCGAGATTCGGTTTGCAAATATTTCCAACGATCGGAACCAACTTCTCGCGCGCGAGTTCTTCGAATCCGCTTCCGTATTCTTTCCATAAGCATTCGAAAAGTTCGGATTGGATAATCTAAGATTAACAAAAACAAGGTAGAAAGAAACAAACTTAACATTATATATGTTTTATTACAAATTCACTATGATCCATATTTGATTTAATTAATTAATCAGTTCATGGTATAACAAAAATAATGACTTGTGGTGCATGGGCTTGAGTCGAGTATCATAGTTACATCTTTCGACAATCGCTCGAGCGCACCCTCCTTATCGTTTGCCTTCATGAGTAAGTAAATTTTACGCACCGATGTCGACCTCAATAATTTTTCGACCAAGGCTGCAAAAGATGATGGGATATATCATGTTCATATATGTAGGTTTAGAAGATTGAAAATAACAACAACAACAACAACAACAATAACGAAAATTGGTGCATGTAACTACATGAATGGACTTTATACATAATATTAAAAAATAGCATCATGCATGCATATTTGTATATAATGAAAAAAATCGGAAAAATTCCGACTCGAATATGTACATTTAACTATATAAATACCTTTACCGACAAGGCCAGTGGCACCAGTAACAAAAATGTTCTTCCCTTGAAAAAACTCGTCGATTCCAACACCCGCTCGATTGCCGCCAGATTCTGCATCTAGCGGCAATTCGGCTTCGAGAGGGTGTAAGGGAGAGGTGAAATAGGCATAGCCATTATAGTTCACCCCTAATTTCCATGTACTATCTCTCAATCTTTTGGTCAACTTGCTATTTTCACAATTATTGCCCAAAAATGAAATTTTATTAGGCTTTTGGGATTGATAGTGTTTATGTGAAAACAACTTCACTTGTGGGATGCAAATTGTACTAATTTGGGCTGTTGACATTTTTTTTTATTTGGACTTTATAATTGGCTCGAGACTGTGTTGAGGAGTTGTAGCAGCATATGTTCTATTTATAGTGAGGAAAATAGGAAATTGGGCCACTTGCTATTTAATTAATTAATAATCTATCTATATGATCTTTTTTATTTTTATTTTTTTTCAAAATTAATAAAGAAAATGTGTAAAATTGGTCAATATAGTAGCTTTTTCATGGAGGTTTCTCAAGTAATTAAGGACGTCACATTATTGGAAACTTGGTCTATAAATTAAATTGGGATGTATTGGAATGATGAGTGACAATAGAATTTAATTATTTAATATAATAATAGTATTATGGTTTTAAAACTAACAAATTTAATTAATGGTGACGTTTTGGGAAAATTCAAATTATTGGGATGTAATGCACTCAAATTAATCAATTTTGAGATATATTTATGTCTATAAAGTATAAACTATAATCAATATTTTTTTTTTTTGCTCAATACTATACTCGAATTTACAAAGTTTAATATTTATGAAACTCTTATATACTAATTTAATTCTGATATAATTGTTTGCTTTTAATTGCATCTCATTTTGTGTTTACTATGGGATTAAATATAATATTGTGCAATTATGGTATATATATGTGAACACGAATCATGTTACATGAACACTATATTTAATTTAATAATTGGTAACACTATAATATTGAAGCACTAAATACAAAACCTGCTTCGGTGGTTTATATGATTTCTATTCTAATACCATGTGTCTGGCACGCGGGAATATTTATACTTCATTAAACGAGATTGCAATAAAAAAATAGAAAAAAATATATATATATATATCAAATACCTAAAAAAAATGTACCAATTTGAAAATTAGCCTTTAGAAATTTTGGTTGGAATTTATTTGTTCCAACAATAATTTTTTAATGGTTTAATTAATGTAGTAATGTTTTCGTTAGAATGTGCGATTTTCGTTAGAAATTTATTTATATTTTCAGTTAACGATTCGAAACGTTGAAAAATCTACTATTTGAGTCGTCAAAATACAATATTTCAAAAGGAAAAAAAAAAAGGTAAATCACGATTGACAAGTTATCATGTTGCGTATGAAACGATAAGTTATATATAGATTTTAATATTTAAAGGTTCAACATTAATATATTCATTATTCACATAAAATAAATAGAATCTTGATTTATTAATTTAATTTAGTGTATCTTAAATCACATGATATATATAGTTTGCAATAAAATTTATATGTTTAGGTTTCATAAAGAGGGCATTTGGTGATTGTATCCAAAATAGCTTAATTTTATTTTGCATTTTTAACGATATTTTTAGAGTTGATGAATTATTATAACTTACTTTATACACAATATATTTCGTAAATATTACAAATGATCCAATAATTTGACCTATTAATTAGTATTTACACAAATGATACGCTATATTGTATTTGGCATATCATTAAACTTGCTCCATATAATACATTTTTGCATATTATATAATTATATAATATGCAAAAATGTAGTGCTTCATTTAATTTGTGTTATCATCCGATCTGGTAATCCACGATTATGCACCCAGAACCACGTGATTAAGAAAGACATTATTGGTACAAGCTTGAGCCGCGGTCACTTCGGCCTATGCTACGACTCCACTCCGGTTCGACAAGAAGACAACCGACTTGGTTACTGAAGACCGAAGTCAGTATGAACCGAGGTCACCGTACTCCAAAGTAGGTGACAAGGCGCACACGCAACACACTCCAGTACCACAAGAAATTTCATCATGTCCGTGGGACCCACTCATATGGCCACCCACCAAAAA